TTTTTTTTCCTGATTTTTTTGTTAATTTAATTTTTAAATAGTTCTGGAGGGTGTGGACTGATGTTTTTGAGTGACCCCTCACTCACGTCGTCGTCCTCTGCTCCACCTCCGAGTGAAATGTCGCCAACGAGGATGCTTGGCAAACTTAAATTTTTGATTCTTTTACGCCCGTGGCAGGCCAAGCCTCCAGACAGAGCTACGTACTCAAGCCTAAAAACAAGAGCAAAACAAAAAAAAAAAACAAAGGGGTACCGAGGATGTTGCAAACGGGACGACGCACTGCCGCTGGTCGGCCTGGTGGTGTTGGTGGAGGTGGCGGTCCACCAGGCCAATGACCGGCGTGCGGTCGCGTGGGCGGGCGCTGTGCGTCAGGCGAACACCACCAGGGCCCACAGGACGGCGCCAGGGCTCGCGCCGAGGCTCGCGCGGAGTAGTATGGCGCTATGGCTGCGTCGCGCGCGCGAATGGCTCGTAATTTATTGCCGCCTCTTTTCAGTTTCCGCGCGCGACATCCTCGTCGCCTCAGACTCTCCCGCCCCACGAGGTGAGGATGCGTGTGCGCAGCGGGCCTTTCAAAATCTATCGCCTTCCTCACCCGGCCCTACACCGTAAAAAAAAATATAACCGAATAAACTTTGCACTAAAAAAATTGCAAACATTGCAAATTGAAAAAAATAATTAAATGAGTGGTAAATTTACGACAGCAAATTCTTACTCGTCAAGGAAAACATATTTTTAAGTATGGAGTATCGAAAAAAAATTATAGACATTTTCACATTTGAAAAACAGAACAAACTGACATTGTCCATGTAAAAAAAACATTCCATAATCTGAAATATTTTTCTAGATAGGAATGATGAAGTAGGCTTATACGTTGTTAACAAGTAGCCGAACAAATTTTGTGCGCCAGCGTGTGACAACTGTTCACGTCACACCGATAAATGTTGAAGTGCAATTCATATTTGCTCTTTTGCGTTTGCTCGCGCTGTTGTGATATCGTCTAATCACCGCTATTGGCTATTAGATCCGACACACGCGGCTTCTGGGATAACCGACTATATGGCTGGCGTATTATTTTCCTCTGCACAGTGTGTGTGTGTGTGTTCCTCCGGTGGGCGTGAATGGGAAGATGTCACGGCTTTTCAGGATCTCTCACACAGGCGCACTCACTCACACACACACACGCGCGCGCGCACGCACACACTCACATTCGCACCAGGCGAGCTGAAAAGACGAGGCAGCGAGGCGGGGACGCCCTGCTGCGAAAGATATGACATTCGAGGCGACAACGCCAAAAGGCGTTGCAGACTCATCCCCTCCTGCTTCTCCTCTCCTCTTCTGCCGGGAGATGTCTTATGATGAATATGGTACACAGACGCCACCAGGATGTTGGCGAGAGAGAACACGCGCACACATACACACACACACATGCCAAGTGTTCACCCGATGCTTGTCGTAAATGCGAGAGAAAAGAAAAACACGCGAGTTTGACCGCGCGCGCGCATTCTCGGAACGTATTTCAGTCACTATCTGAACACATGCTGCGGAAGCTAAATGTCTCTCTATCCTAGCCCGGGGCGGAACACCTTGCAGAGCGGGCCAGCCCGTCGTACAAGCCTGTCGTCCGGGTGCCTACCCACCAGGCGCCTGACCGCCGTGCAGGGTGGGCCAGCCCGTCGTACAGGCCTGTCGTCCGGGTGCCTACCCACC